ATTGAAAACCAGGAATCGTCAATCTACACCAACTTAATAATTATCATTGCGAAGATATGTACTTGCGTTGTATTTGGCCTACGCACTGTGAAAATCAGGTCCATTGCCGATTTTAGTTGCACTGAACATGGCAGACATGGCGGCTGTCTGGTTGTTTTGATCCAATTCATCTCAGAAAAACGGTATAACTCAATAAATAAGTAGCGCCCAGTAGCGCCCAGTTACCGCGAGCAAGCCAGAGGTTTATAGATTCGTTTGAGCTATTACATGTGACGCTAGCTGTGTCGATGGTTGGATACCGAGCCAACTACAAGGAATTGTGGGCAAGAATCTGAAACGGTATTCTAACCCTAGCAATACCGTTTCTTGGAGCTAACCCTAACACTAACACGAGCCCTAACCCTAACACAAACTATAAACTGACTCCATTTCTTATATAGGTAATATATCTTACAAAAACAATGTAGTGTTTAACGAAATACGCAACGCATGCGCATGCGCGTTGCATGTCGTAAGAATAGTCCAAAAATAATTCTTACGACTCGTCGTAACAATAGCCACTTCCAATATATTTAGCTTGTCGTTTCCATTATTCCACTCCGACATTAAGAATGCACCAACAGTAGGAGAAGGTGGGTTTGGTATTAGAGTAGGGGAGAAGGTATAATTCACGGATACTATTAGCTCCAAGAAACGGTATTGCTAGGGTTAGAATACCATTTCAAACCTTGGCGGCAGCTAAACACGTAGTTGCCTTATTTGCCAAGTATTGCCAAAGAACACTACACATGTGATATACCAAATGAATCTGTATGCATCCACCTTCGTGTAAATATCAGTGCGCTACGATGCGCTGGGTACTTACGGGGTTACAGCGACTTTTTGAGACAAATGCAACAAAATTTATGAATTCGCCGCCATGTTTGCTATCATTCCGACTGTGACTAAAATCCGCAATGGATCGAACAAGCGAAATTAAACGATCTGCGGTCCTCATGTACACCACTCCAACATCCGAGAACATGTCATCTAAGGTTTTTACAAATGGCCCAGACATTTGTGAACATCGTTTCACTTGCTTTGGTGTGTAATTGCCGTGAGAGCCATCGTACTATTTCTGTAGTATTTTCTAGCGAGTCTTTTCCGTTTCGGGTTTTCCGTGCCTCGCTAAACATGGCGGGTAAAGCCGATTGGAAAGTTGATATGCTGTGAGAATTAGCAGATTATACCGTGAATTAAGAGATACATTCTAGTTTAGAAGCAGGACAACTGTGAGTTAACGTTCATATTTCAAACAAGGCAAGTCAAAGGTGGTAATAGAATAGTTTTATTTGAGATATACAGAGTTATTCATCTAGATCTGCAGAGGTGATAGGTTTTTTGTATTGAAGGGTGTCAGGCTGTATAGAAAATCCGTCGCACAGCCTGGTTGGGCTAGGATACTATTAGAATTTAGTATTACTATTACTACACGCACAGACACACACGCGCGCACTCACACACATAGACAAACACACACGCGCGCACTCACACACTGAGACAAACACACACGCGCGCACTCACACACAGAGACAAACACACACACATACATACATAGGCACGTGCGCATGCTCACACCCACACATACACGCAGTATTACTACTACTAGTACTACTACTACTAGTACTAGTGAATACTACTTTACTCTAGTTGGACTAGTGCAGTAGTGGTCCCAGTGACAGTGTGGGGAGGACCCTGTGTCCAGTGTGATTCAATCCGACAATCGCTGCCCTTCCTCCATGAACATGCATATCTATACTATGGACTATTCACTTCTTGTAGAGAAATGTTATGCTTAAACTAGAGGAATCTAACACGCTATATGGTAGTTTAATGCCATGCTCCTATCAATGTCATTACTATATAATTTAAGAGAGTTGCCAGAATATGTGGAACTGTCACTGTCACTATGTAAATTCTATAGCCTGCGAAATTTGTGCAAGTGGAAAATTACAGTAGTACGGCTCATAGGGTCTATGTCCCCCAGGGTACTGCCAGAACATACCCTGGGTACGGTCCGGTGTACCGGAATACCGGATACATACCGGAATACCTGTATACCGGAACGTACCCTGGTAACTATTTGATATGGTTAGGGTTAGGGAGTAGGCGTAGGCGACTCCCTAGACTC